AAATAGGCAAGAAGTTAGGAGAACTTTCCGAATGGGGAGACAGACAAAAAATAGCAAAGGTTGCAACTATTCCTCACTCCAATCATGACTAGAATAATGCCATTTGTTTTTGGCTGGTATTACCCTTTCACTCAAAAAGGCCCGGTGTTCTGGTTGGGAAATCCATTACTAATTTTTACTGACAACAAATAACCCACAGGTATACAACTAATAGCATTGACTTTAAAAACCAGCATTAAACTTACTTGAGTTAGAGGATTTCTTCTAACACAATTGATGCCTCCTATGAAGATCATGTTTGGCATAACAGGTCTAGGAAATTCAAATATAAAGTCGTATCTTAGAAGCCAAATGGAAGCTCTACTAAAAAGATCCATAACCGAGACTTCCTTGTGCAGGTATACTGAAGCTAAACGGGCATAGGGAGCATAAAATATACGGCATACAATCTGCTCAATATAACTTTTTTGAATATTTTTCACTCTCTGGCTAAAATCCATATGGTCTGTGTACATAGTAAAGAATCTGGGAATGTAAGAAGCCGGGGCCGGAGACTGCGTTGCTTCCTGATCTGCACCAAAGAAAGCCCCTCTAATGAAAGAAACAGAAGGTATCAAAAGATGTTCAGCAATAATTTATCCGCATGGGTAGACTGGATCATTCAACATTCCATCAAACTTGTATTGTTCCAAATACTTCATTAGTGAGTCATTTCGAAGAAAGCACTTACACTGAGCAACAACAAAACTGGCTATATTTACTATTCTATCATACATAAACTTCACATCCTGCAGAACAGGCTGAAACTGAAATATATCATAACCAGTCTCCTTCACCATCGATTCCATAAACTCTTTATTAAAGGGCACATAATATGTTCTCACTGTGACATTATCCATCTTCTTTATATGAAAATGTACTTCAGGAACCACCATAACAATCTGGTGACCTCTTTGGGACAACTTCTCCACCACGCTACTCATGGCAAGCCAAAGACTTCCATCTTGTGGTACAACAAGCAACTTGTCACTTTCAGTTAGTCTAAATGCCGTAGAGAAAAGAAGGAGTCCAATAGCACTGAAGCACATGACCCAGGTCCCCATGGCTAGGTGCAGATGTTCCACAGTTTCTGAAAATCCTTTCCAGAAATGAACGTTGACCATCAAGTACACATTGTATGGCACACACAAAAGAAACTGAAGCAAAGCAAATGAACTATAGACTTAGATAACAAAATATCAGATAACTACATGGAGCAAATGTTTGAACAAATTGTACTCAAAGTAGGATGAGAGGTGACACCCAAACCGATTAGCTAAGGCAAACGCATTAGTTATGTGTAAAGTCAAAACCCATATCAGGCTTCATTGGTGTCCGCATACCCAGGGCCGGCCTTAGGGGTGTGCGAGCCGTGCGGCCGCACAGGGCGCCATGGCAACAAGGGCGCCGTGCGGCCGTCACAGCTCGTCCTGTGGGCGGCTTCTCTCCCCCTCACCGCTGGCCATCCGATATGACATCACCATGATTCCCTCTCTATTTGTATTGGTGACCACTATTGTCCAGACAAATTCAACATTTTCAGTTTCTCCAAAACAGGAATAGATGGAAATTCTTCCAATAGAGCCATTTGTTATGTTGGTAACATATATTGTCTAAGAGGGCATTTTTCTCACTTTGAAAACATTTCCTTTTACTTGCTGTTGTGTTTACAGTGCAGCTAGTAAAGAAAAATCTCACCAATATGCAACAAACGGCAGAAAAATCTGACAAAAGATTTACTCATTTCTAGTCGATCCAAGATTTAACAGTGTTTTGGCTAGCTTTGTTTTAAATTGAAGCTAAAAAGCACTGTGACTTAGTGGTTAGAACTTTTATCTTGTTTGCATGTTCTGCCTGTGCTTGTGAGTTTCCTTCTCCACTTAACTTTTAGACATGCTGGAAGGTTAATTGGCTCCTGTCTAAATTGTCCCTAGCGTGTATGCATATAAGATAGGTTCCCTAGCTCAGCTGTTGCCAACCAACTGGTGGTCCATGAGAAAATTTTGGTGGTCCCCAGGCCAGTGGCGTCACAGGGTGGGTGCGGGGGGTGTGGCCCGCACCCCGGTGACACCATTGGAGGGGTGACACCAAAATGACTGTTGTCATTTTTGTGTCACCCCCCTCTGAAAAGTCAAGCGCTCGCTCATGGACCGAACGCCCGACAGCATCAGGACAGAGAAGGGGACCCGGCGGCATACCTTATCCCGCTGGGTGACTGTGCCCTCCTCTCTCTGCCCGCGTCCATCACCAAGATGGCCGCCGGCAGGTATCAGAAGATCGTGCACGCGCGTGGTGATGTCACGCGCATGCGCAGTGATGTCTCGGCGGGGTGACACTCGGTAACCGCTCCGGGTGTCATTCAGCCTCAGGACGCCCCTGCCCCAGGCACCTCTGATGCCATGCAGGCTGGGCTGTCATTTAAACGGCACGGAGGCTCTGGGGCTGCCTCTTAATGACTCAAGCAGCGGCTGTCACAGGGAATGCGCGGCTCTCGGTACAGTACGAGCTCTGCAGGAAGCGGGGCATCTCGTCAGTACCCGGACTGAGCATAGAAAAAGTGGGGAGAAGCCAGTTAATAGTGGCTCAGTGTGGGGAAGGGGAGGCACGAGGGTGGTGGCAGTGCTGAAGCTAGGGGGGGTATGTGCCCAATGGGAGATTCGATAGGGGGGAAACAATTAATATTATTACTGGGCTGGGGCAGGCGGCACCGCTCGCTCCACACAACGCGATTTAAGAGCCTTTGAACGTGGAATGATTGTTGTCGCGAGCCATGGAGCGAGTATCAGCAAAACAGCAGAATTCGTTAAATGTTCAAGAGCCACTGTTGTTAAAGTGTTTAAAGACTGGACTGTCAGCCGAAAATCTGGGTCTGAACATGTGAATTGTGGCCGTCAGCGACTAGTCAATGTTAGGGCAGAACGGAGAGTGGCAAGACTGGTACAAGACAACAGAAGGGCAACAGTGCAGTGTCAGACTCCTCGCATCACCTTTCAACATCTTGTGGAGTCACGAGGCGGCCCAACGAAGTCATCTCGTGGAGTTATCTCGTGGCCCAACGAAGTACTGATGGGGTGGTCATAATAATCTGGCCACTCGGTGTATATATACAGACATTCCTCGCTTACCGACTTACCTGCTTTGCGACCACTCGCACTTACGACCGACCTCCGACCTTGCGTGTAAGCGTGAGTGCGACGTGTCGCCGGCAGAAGTGATGTCCTCCGTTCTTCACTGCGGGTCCCGGTAAGTATTTTATTGCCCAATGTACAGTACACTGTTCAG